TATTTTTTTTTTTTTACTGACAGTTCACCCACAACAAGGCTCAAGGGCTACTCAAGGTAGAAGGTTTCTGAGGGAGATTATAAGGGATGGGGAAGCAAGAGAGTAAGGAGGTTGTTGGCATTTTGAAAAGGGTTTCCAAATCAACATGCAAGCAACAAAAATAAATAATGCCTACTAGACACACACACGTGCACACAAATATGTGTGCGTGTATATATATATATATATATATATAAATACGAATTAAATAAAAAGATATGAACAACCATACATGCACACAATTACGTTCATATAGAGATTTGCAAATAAATATTTCATTTTTGTTTAATCAAAGCAGTGCTCAATGTAGTGTAACAGAACTATAAAATATATATTAATAATACAGCAGTTTGTACCTAGGAAAATTAGAAATGGAACATTCCAATTGAAGGACATTCTGAACAACACATATTGTTCCTTCATCGCGAAGCATCTTATTAAAAACCTAAATTGTGCTGCTAACTTCATCATTGACTCTTTTACCATCTTGAGTTGTGCTTGCTCACTATTGCAGTTAAAGGTGTTGGAAACAATTTACATCCGGTCCAGACAGCCTTCCCTCTGTAAACAGAGAGAGAGTGTCTATTAGGACTTGACATAATTTCAATTTAGATTGTATTCTGCCTTTATTAATATTGCATATTGTTTGATGTTTTATTTTTGTTTTTATTGCAATATATAATCCTTCCGTTCCAGCTCTGTTGAGTGAGGGTGAAACTGGTTAGCTGTGTTTATTATTTTTTTCTTTTTAATCATGAAAAGTAAAGTTAGTCTTACCTTTTTTTATTTCTGTATTAATAACTATAAATATTACCTATGACATGCAACTCTGAGTCATAAAACTGACGTAGGTAATATATAGTTATTAATATATATATATATATATATATATATATATATAACACATCAATGGGTGGTAACAAGTATTTGGGTCAACCTACTTCCCAAAATCTGTTCAAATTAGCTAACATAAAAAATGATTGGGGTAAGAGATTCTATTTTAGGCCTAGAATTTTTCAGCACATTGAGTTTTGGCATAGCAGAGACAGTTTTTTTTAATCAGTTTACTCCTAAACAAGGTGATAAAGTCACTAAGATACAAGGGATTACATGCAGTGAAAGAGAATGATGGCTTTTAGTGAGGAGAAAAGAAAATTTTAATATATATATATATATATATATATATATATATATATATATATATGTGTGTGTGTGTGTGTGTGTAAATTCTTTTCATATTGTCTGATAAGCTTAATAATATCATCATTAAAAGAAGAAAGAAAATCACAATATTGATACATATTTTTTAATCCTTTCTAAGCTTTCGGCTTACATAGACCATTATCAAAGATGACAATTACAGTACAATATATTAAGCAATACACAGACAAAACAATAATGATCGTCTGCATATGAGACGCTGCAAGCGAAAATCACGCCACAGCTTGTGATGTCACACGAGAGTGAAAATGAGAAGTATTAAGTATGGGAAGCCATTGGTATAAACCAATGGCTTCTGTTCTAAATTATAGGTATTTAAGAATATTTGTGGAAATTTCATAGCTTATTTTGTACAGGTTAGGTTTCAACTGTTTTATGTATACAGCTTCAAGAATTTTTAGTTTTTGTTTATTGTTTTCATGTTTAAGTATAGTTGTGTTTTCATCGAGGATTTTCCGAAATTGTGTATGTGGCCATGCATGTTGTTTTAAATGCTTAAAAATGTTAGAGTTATCATTCAAATGTAGTGTCAAGTGTTGTGAAAGCGAGTTTGTGGTGTGACCAACATAAATATTATTTATTAGTTATTAAGCTTATCAGATGATATGAAAAAAAATTATATAAAATAAATAGACAAAACTTGTCTATATTATTTAATGAAACATGCATCAATGAAAAAATGCTGCCTAAATACACACACACTATATATATATATATATATATATATATATATATATATAGCGCATCAAAAAAATTTGGGGGTGGCTTCCTCACATCAAAAGTCCATACAAACATGTCTGCAAATCCTTCATTTTTGAGTTAAGTTTGCAGTAGATCACTCTGTGTAGACCAGGTTACATTTGTCATTCATGTACATTTGTGGATAGTCTGTCTTCAATGCTTAACATGTGTAATAGTGAGTTAACTGAGTAGTGTTCCTTTTAACAATGCTAGGATATTCATATCATGAGCAGGCAGATATGATTTTTACATACAACTGTGTGAATGGTAATGGATGTGAGGCTGCATGACTGTATCAGATTGCATTTCCAGACTGAAGGCAGCTGAGTTATCCAACCTTTGCTGCCATTTATCGTTGCATTCCTGAGACAGGATCCATGGCATCACAAACTATGGAACAAAAAAGACCAAGATCCACATGTATGTCTAACTGCAAAGGACACATTTTACAGGATGTCAGTACCCCTACTAATACGAAGACAGATGTGGTTTATTAATGTCTGCTGTAAAAACCACTTATTTTTGGTGGCCCCCACAGATAGTTGGTTTAAGCTCCAAACCTGTGCACCCTTGTGACCTTACTGGTTAGTATCTGTTACTCTTTACAAAAACTTTGAATTATGACTTTGAAAATGTATGCATGAATGAGGGGCGGCAAAAAAAACTCTCAGCTCCATCCAAACTGCTCACTGCTCTATTGCTATTTCCATGGAAAGTGTGCATAAAAAAACCATATTCCTTAGTTCCACCACTTCAAACATTCACAGCTAAGACCCACCATGACACGCACATTATAGCAAACCATTCTCATTCCTTTTGTATTTCATTGGTGTAATATAATTTAAACTTGAGCAGCTTCTTCCCATGGACTGCTCCTTCATGGAACCAACTTCTAAGAGGATGAATCCCCAATCACTACAATCTTAAACTGTTCAAATCTAGAGCTAACTATTACCTTAACTCAATATCCTTATAAACTATGCCACTTACTATGTAACCCTCTACTTTGAATGGCTCTTGTACCTTGTACAGAATGAACATTATTGTAAAAATTAAAATAAATCCAGAGAACCAACCTGAGGATTGTATGGCTGAGCGGACTTTAGTTACAGTTACTGGGAGAGAGAAAGCATAATCTGGTATGATCAATAGGTGAAGATGACCAGAACACTCAAACACTTAGCCACGATGACTAGCAACTGCATGCTAACACAACCAGCAATTTTCAAAGTGTTTAGTCTACACAATTTCACTGACATGGTTTGGGTCAACTCACTCATGCTATGGTTTTCACAGGCACTTCACAGTAGGGGCCACATACTGAAACGGTAGGACATTTTTTACTAAATGTTTACTTATTAAAAAGCCCAAGAGCCACTCAAAGTAGAGTTGGTTGGTTAATTTTGTTGAGTAACATATCAACCTTTAAATATTTTGAACAATTTTATGGTTTGAACTGAATATATTTTGAATGCAATTGTATACCTTCAACTACTGATATAATGTATTGTTGGTAATTTTTTTTATATAAAAATGTATTGCTGGTATTTTTGCTATAAAAATCTATTTTTATACTCACATACTGTTTTATTTTTGTTTGTTGTGGGAGGGGGTTAGTATCTGCCCATAGATGGGACCCTAACAGATCCTACCACCCCAAGTTAAGGTGCACCTGGGAATAATAGCAATTAAGAGGTGGTTCCATGCTCCTCAAAACCTCTAATCTCCTGATCGGAGACCTTGCTGCTCGATTGTCTTACCAGGATCAAGGTAGAGGGTTAGAACAAGATTTCTCAAGTCTAGGGTTAACTATTTACAATATTCGGACTGTTGTCCATCTTTATTGCCATATTCACAATGTTTTAGCCATTGTATGCTCCAGCCTTCTATAGGTGATATCAAACCCTTTATTTAGTCTACGGGGGTAGATTGTTCTCATTCCACATGCCATACCTTTTCTGGATATCTCGGTTTCAGTTAATTTCCTTTAGTAACTCAACACTCCAAGTTTTTGTTCCCTCTGCTGTGGCCAGATATTGAACTCACAATTCTTTGGGTCAAGTGACTTTTTGGATTACTTCAATTAACACTTTTATCCATTGGGCTATGTGTTGGTCTGAAATTCTAGTGTATATCACCTGAGGAAAACCGAAGCATACAATGGCCAAAACATGACTATAGTAATGAAGAGGAGGACAACAGCCCAAACAATGTAAATAGTTGCAATACCTTGTCTCAGAAATATAGACAGATGTCTCAGGTTAACTGTTTTTTTAAGCATTTCATCCCAAGCAAGGTGAGAGTGCTACTAGCATGCAAGAGATTACAGAGAATGTAAGTAAGGGAAAGGATTGGGTATAGCGGGTGGTTGAGGAAAAGATAAAAAAAGGAACAGAGGAGGATAAAAAGAAGAATAGGGATCAAGGTAATAGAAGATGTTGATTGACATTACATTTAAATTTTTTTATCAGGGAAGCAAGTAAGAGGAAGGGAGTTCCACTGTCGAGAAGTGCAAGAGAAGAAGCTGTTGGAGTAGAAGAACTGTTATTTTACCCATATATCCCCATAAACTGTGCATCTTATTTTGTAACCCTTTACCTTGAGTAGCTCTTGGGCCTTGTAGGTTGAGCATTATAGTTAAAAAAAAAAAAAAAAGTCAGTCTTCTGACATACAGACATTAAAATACTAATTTATAGAAATAGGTTTCACCACCCTTTTGTATATCTACCACTGACACAGTTTTTATATTGGATTAACTGTACGGTAGATTGTACTATTTTTATTATTTATTATGTTTTTATTTATTTGTTGTTCAAAATTATGCATTTGCTAGAGATGCGCTGATTTGCAAACGCAGTAACAGCAAGAAAAAAAAAAAAAAAAAAAAAAAAAAAAAAAAAAAACCTGCAAATCCAAACCAATTTTCAACCTGCATATAAATGACTGATTAAACCAACTGATTTTATCAAAAAAAAAAAAAAAAAAAAAATGTACTGACATGCTGCCTTTTCACGTCCGTTCATTTGATTCTTTCAGTCACTCTCTCACTCTTCGGCTGGTTGTCTTGTGTTTTTTTTTTTTTTTTTATTTCTCACTCATTCTCTCTTTTCATGTCCTTTTCCCTTTTTTTCTCTACCCTTCTCTCTTAAACTTTTTACCTCTGTACCAGTTTCAGTCCTACTCCCTATTATTTGTACTGTGCCTCCTTCATACTTCTTACCTTTCTCTTTACCTTTTTATCTCTTCAGCTATCTCTCTGGTCATCTCTCTCTACCTTCCCATCTGTCTCTCTCCCTACTTTTCCAACTTTCTCTCTGATTTTCCCCCTCTTTCTATCTTGTCACCTTTCCATCCATCTCTCTCTCTCTGCTTTTCCCTGTGTCTTTCTGATTTCCCCTCTTTCTCTCTCCTCACATTTCCCCTTTTTCTCTCTCCACTTTTCCTTCTTTCACTCTTGATTTTCTCATATTTTCATATTTCCACCTGCCTCTTTCACTTGACACCTTTCTGGGTCTCTCCCCCCACCACCATTCTCTCTCTGCCCTCTCTTCACCTTTCTCTCTCTTCAGCAATCTATGACCACGTTTCCATTTTACTATCTCTTTCTCCTTTTCTATCTGCCTATCTCTCTCAACTATTCCTTCTACTTCTCTTTTCTCTCAACTTTTCCCTCTGCATATGTCACTCCGACCTTGCCCTTGACCACCCACCCACCTTTTCCTCTGCCATTGTCTCTCTCTCCACCTTTCTAGCTCTTTCTCTTTCCAGCTCTCTCTATCTCTATCTCTTTCCAGCCCTCTCTATCTCTTTCTAGCCCTCTCTATCTCTGTATCAAGAAAACTGTTCAAAAATAATTGTTTGAAAATAATTATTCAAAAAACATTTATTTGAATTATAAATTGTTTGAATGAAAATTAATCAAAAAGGACAATTATACTAAATGATAATCATTCAAAATACCTATGTTTGAAATATGTATTTGAAAGAGTCAATGGTGATTTACCTAGAACTAATAAAACCCTTGAAGGATGGCATAGGGCTTTTTTGTAGCACATGTCATCCCATCATCTTAGACACTCTTAAAAGAGAACAGGACTTGCAAAAGTAAAGGCAGGTTGCCAAAATATCAAGAGCACCAAGAAATACCAGGATGAAAATGTAACAATTTTAAAAATAAGTGCCATCCTTTAACAAGTACTCTTCAGTTGTTGACTATTTGCGTGCAGTATAAGCTAACTTAAGATTATAAGGAGTTTTTCTTACTAAATTGTTTTATTAACGATATTTGTACTTCGAATAATTATCATTTGTATATTTCCTCTTTAAATTTTTTACATTTTTATTACAATAAAGAAGTTTGCATTTTGAATAATTAACATTTCATCACCTTTCAAGCACTCTCTATACCCCCCACCTTTCCATCACTCCACCTTTACAGCACTCTGTTTCTCTCTTTCCACCTTTCAAACTGTTTCTCTCTCCTTTTCCATTTCTATGATTCTCTAATCTTCTCTGTCTCTCATGCGTCATACCCAGTTTCAATGGTCAGTGTGAATATCAAATGTTAATGAATAAAAGATTAGTCTGAATCTGTCTATTTTTAACTTGGATAATCCGGGATTAGCATCTACAAAGCATGAGAGATTTGACATGCACCACTTTTTACTCACCTGAAATCGAAATATACAGATTTAAATAAATTCCTCAGGGTAAATACAGAGATATATATGTAAAACACTATCTAAACACACATACACACACACACACATATATATATATATATATATATGTGTGTGTGTGTGTGTGAGAGAGAGGAGTGGAAACAATATATAAATGTTTATATATCAAGAACAATTTTAGGGAAAACTATAACAAAGTAGAAAAAGTTTTCATGTGACGCCTTCTGTCCTTTAGGACTTCATCAGACTAAAAGTGATTTCTGTGGTCCATCAGTGGCCTGGTCCCAAGGATGCTGGATTAAAAACTTCTTTCTTTTTTCTATGGATCACTACTTCTTTGGTCAGGGATTCTAAGAAGTCCAGCATGTTGAAGGATTCCTCAAAGAATTTACTGTTTTAAAACCACAATTCTTAATTTAACAATAAATACAGAATTAAGATAAAATTATAGAAAACCGGGAAAAATATATTTCACCCCAAGCAAGGCAATAAAGCCACTAAGACTCAGAGAATTACAGGGAGTGAAAGAGAATGAGAAGACTTTAGTTATGAGAGATGAGAAAAGGAAAATAAATAAACAGGGTTCAGATAGACAGAAGATAGTGAGTGATGTTACATCTAAATTTTTGAAGATTGTAAGTGGCAGAGAAGCAAGAAATTAGAAGGGATTTCCACAGGCAAGAAGTGCAAGAAAAGAAACTGTTAGAATAGAAGTAGCAGTTGCATCTAGCTAGTTCAACAGTGAAACCTAACTGCCAATCTAGTAGTAGACTTAAATTTGTGTAGTCAAGGAACTAAGAAAAAAGCTCATTGGAACAGTTGCCATGAAAATATTTGTCAAAAAACAGAGAAGCCATGTCACAAATACTCAATATTTTCTCATTTACTATATAAGATTCTTTCTTTTTATTTTAAGAAGAAAATCATTTTATATACAAAATCAATTTATAAGGAAACCATAATCCTATTGTTTTGGTCCTAGAGGAATTTTAAAGAAATAAAGAAAAAAAGAGAGAGATAGACTCTGTAAAATTTTATCTTAAGGCCATAATTATCAAATCCACCTTGATTTTAGATAAATAATAACATAATATTAAAAAGATAGTAAGAGAGGACATGTTATGAGGAAGGAAGGCTTGGAAAACTTAACTCACAGGACCTATTGATTGAAGATGTAAAAGGAAGCCACTTACCTAAAGGTTTTGTAGGAATGGATGTCAGAGCAAGGACAAGGTGGGATGGTAAGGTGTCAAAGAAAGTTGTGGAGAGCCATGACCTTAAATGCCCTGCAGGGTAATATGACAAAAGATGGTGACACTGTTAGATCACAAAAACTTTTTTGACACTGGTTTCAGAATAAACTATGAGTCTTCTATGTGCTGTTCCTTTGAAGACATGGACAATCATGACTCTCCACAACTTCCTACCCTTGTAGCAATATTTATCTTTTTTTAATCCCTCACAGTCCATGTTCTTCTATACATTTATACAAGCTCATTAGTTAAGTTATTTGCTGTTTTCTCCTCTGCTATTCTTGCTTTCAATATGTCTTGTGAGTGTCAAATTCTCCAAGCCTTATTTTACCTCATCATGTGACCAAGAAATTACAAATGTCTTTTTCTGATTCTAAGCATAAACATACTTTTTGTTTCCATTTTCCTAAAAAAATTCCTTGTTGCTCACATGTTCTGGCTTTGGTATTCTTTGCATCCTTCTGAAGAACCACACTATATATAAAGACTGAAACTACATAGCAGTTCAACACTATTCTTTGTTCCTATTGAAATTTCTCTGTTTTTTAATACTTTGTTTAGCTTTTGGAAGGCATCTTTCCCTATTCCAATGTGCCATCAGATTTCCCATCATTGGTTAAAAGACTTTCGAGAATTTGGTTGTTTTTCACCTTTCCAATTTAGGCTCACACCTTTGTCCTTTCACTGTGACATCAGAGGATTGATATTACATATTTTGTTTAACTTGTGGAAGGCATCTTTTGCTATTCCACAAAGCCACTGGATTTCTGTGTCTATTTGGCAAGATGCCCGCTTCATAAAGCAAATATACCAGCCTTTCCCACCCCACTAGACGTCTCATTTTGTATCTTCACAAAAGTGATACCTTTCCGACATTTGGAGCAGCGACATACCTTACAATGAGAGGATCGATTTGCCTCCATTTGTATTCGTGAGGTAATGAGAACAAAAACGAAACTATCTCAGAATTGGTGCTTTGCTTTGACAATGTTCACTTCTTAGATAATAATACAGCAATGTGCAATACTGAAGTAAACACAGCAATACTTATATTGTATCATTTTTACAGTGTTATACTAACAGACAAACAGAAATTGGATTATTATTATTATTATTATATACAGAGCATCTCTAAGGTCTATTTATGAAGTTAATTGAAATCATTTGGTAGTTTTCAGCTCCACTCAACTAATTTCTTGTAATATAAAATAGTAGACAACAGTAGAAGATTGTTACTGAAGTTGCTGGGCCGAAATTTATAGAATTCTGCAAAATCTTTAATATTTTTAAAATTATTTGTTTCATCATTTTTACTTTATATATATATATATATATATATATATATATATATATATATATATATATACACACACGTTTCATTAAATAATATAGACAAGTGTTGTCTATTTATTTTATGTAAACTCTTTTCATAACGTCTAATAAATACATAAAATAAATAGACAACACTTGTCTATATTATTTAATGAAACATGTATAAATGAAAAGATGCTGCCTAAATACACACAATATATATATATATATATATATATATATATATATATATATAGTGTCCCTAAAGTCTGGACACATAGGAAATCTCATTAAGTATATTCTTTTTTTACTTCCACAGATTAAACATGGTTTTGTCAAAAGAAAAAAAAACTGACTTCTTCTTCTGGGGTATGCTAAAATAGAAGTGTAGTTAATGAAAATCACAGATGCAACACGCTTGAACACATAAAGAGTGAATATGCTAAATTTGACATCAATGTGGAGTTACTGTATTGAGTTCATGTGAATCTTACAAAGCACATCAACCATTGCATCACAAATGATGGAAATCATATTGAAGATGTTATTTGTTAATATTCCAATTCAATAAAATGTTGAAAATTTTATTTCTTGAAAATAAGCATATGGGTCCAGACTTTAGGGACACCCTGTAGATGGCTAAAAATGTATTTTTTTCTTCAGACAACATCAACATCCCAGGGTTTGCCGTCATGTATAAGATGCTAGGGCATTTTCTGAAGGACCTGAATCTTCCCAATCTGGTAAAAGATTCAGTATCAGAGTGCATTTTTTGGCACTACTCAAATTTAGTGGTCAACTCATAAAAAAATAATAGGAAAGAATTCTTTTTTTTTTTAAAAAACAATTTTTATACCTTAGCATTTATGAGACCTTCCTGAAGCCATGACATTTGCCAGAATAAAAAAATATTAATTTTTATCATTTTAGAGATCAGTCATAATATAAATAGTCTCAAATTGATCACTGACTCTTGACAGAGTTATCTGTACTTTGTTTTTATTTACCAATGTCAAGTTTAAAACTATGTTTCTGTTATTAATAACTGTATACTACTGATCATGTCTTTTTCCCCCCAATTTGTATGAGGACACATCAACAATATAAGCAGTTTCAAAATGATGGCCACTCTAGTTAAATACTTATTATTGTTGGAAGCTTGTTGAAGTAATGAATTGCAGTTTGGATTGAGGAATTGAAGAGCTGATTTCAAAAAACATTACATTCACTTATGTGCTAATGCCCTAATAATGGGAAAGGGTATGAATCCATGTCTTCTCCCCTACCCCCAGCTATGGGTAAATTTCAGAACAGATTTGGTTCTATAGCCTTAGATGGCAACCAGTCTAAGTGAAGGAAAACTCTGAATTCAAACCAGCCTGGAAAATCTGGAGGGAAGGACCCAAAGGTAGTTAATAACTCAGTACTATCTGGTATTATCTGGCATCCCCTTCTGCCTGCTTTCTCTCCTCAGATGTCACACACTTGTGTGCCCTGGGATTGTAGGAGTAGAAAGGGAGGGTTGCTGCAGCTCAGCACAGACCATTGCAGCCATACCAACCTGCGTAAAG